TTCAAGGTTTAGCTGTGGGTGTCTGCTTCTATTTCCACCAGCTGCTGGATGAAGGCTATAGGATGACATATACGTTAGTCATCAATCTCATTATCAAGGGAGGGCATTTAAGGTAGCCTCTCCTCTTTTGCTTAGATTGATAGTTTAACCACAAGATTCTTGAGAAACCTTATTAAATAGATGATATCAAGAGTTAATGAGAACAGTGTAGGAACAGTGAATGAAGCAGAATCATAGAAACCATAGTTCCCACATTTCTAATAACTGTTATGTGTAAGTTTCCAAGTTATGTTGCTTATAGGATAAAAGGGAAAAAACTTGGCATATCCCCAGAGGAGATAGAGTAGTACAGAATGTAGAATGGATTGATCCAGCTTTGACTTGTGAGTTGATTGTGAGAACCCAGACCCTATCAGATGTAAATATTAACCATAAGAGACAAAACTGTCTCTCACCCTGCATGACATTGTAACAGCATACGCTGCCAATCGGGCACACTGTTCTACCTGTAGGTGTACCTATTTATAAAACTTCCTTTGTTCCTTGCAAGACTGCTTATGCTTCTAACAACAGAGATTTAGATCAAAAAAAGTAATGGCTACCAGTGGGAAAGTTGGAGGACAAAAGAGGAAAGAAGCAAGGAACAATTGGGTAATTATTGTAATCATTTTTAGAAACTTAGGAAGTAAAAACTGATTGTAAAACTGTTCATGAAAACCATTGAAACTATATAAATAAAAACAGCCCAAGCTACCCAGGACCACTTGTTTAAACAGCAACAGGTTGTCACAGTTTCTTCATGGCACCAACTTCACACATCCATCCCAGGTCATTGAATCCATCTGGAGCAAGGCTCCCAGCACACCATGACCATGGCAACTCGGATAAAGGAAAGTATTTAATAGGGACTTGTAAGATTAATGTCTCTTTATTCCAGAATACACCAAGGTAAGACACAGGCCAGAGCTAGGTTATAGAACCCAGCCAGCGTGGCCAGAACAAAAGGGGCCCGCGTCCCCACGTGCAGCCCCTTAAGAAGCTCCCTTACGTCACCCCGGCTTTCCTTCACCACGCCCTTCTGGGCGAGTCCCCGGGTCCACCTGGTACCTGCCCCAGGACTATTGGGCGGGGCTAGGGTGACTCCCTACAGGGACTAGCTTACAATTCAGAGGTTTAGTCCATTAACATCATGGTGAGAAGCACAGCAGCACGCAGGAGGACATAGTGCTGGAGAAGGAGCTCAGAATTCTACATTCAGATCAACATGCGGCAAGAAGAAAGTGAGACACTTGGCCTAAGTTGAGCATCTAAAACCTCAAAACACACTCCCAATGGCACACTCCCAAAGTCCATTTGTGCTCTAGGGTTAAAGACTGGCTCCATTGTTAGAGGTCCCATAGACTGTCTTGACCTCCTAGCTGGCACCCACATTTAGAGGGCTTACTTAGTTCAGTCCAGTGCTCTTTCCCCAGCTTTATGACTAGGGTCTCCATGCTCTTACTAGGTCAGGTCAACAGTTTCTGTGGGTTTCTGTTGTTAGAGGTCCCATAGACTGTCTTGACCTCCTAGCTGGCACCCACATTTAGAGGGCTTACTTAGTTCAGTCCAGTGCTCTTTCCCCAGCTTTATGACTAGGGTCTCCATGCTCTTACTAGGTCAGGTCAACAGTTTCTGTGGGTTTCTGCAACACTGTCTTGGCTCCTTTACTCATCCCTCCTCCCTCTCCACAACTGGATTCCAGGAATATGGTTCAGTGCTTCACTGTGGGTGCCTGTTTCTACTTTGAAAAGCTACTGGATGAAGGCTCTAGGAATGGTAACCAAGGTAGCCATCAATCTCATTATAGAGGAAGGTCATCGATGGCATCTTCTCCACCACTGCTTGGATTCTTAGTTGGGCTCATCCCTGTGGATCCTCTAACATTTCCCCTGTGCCAGACCTCTCTAAAAACCTGTACTGTCTGCCTCTATCAAGGCATCTCCTTTCTTGCCCTCCTCTATCCCTCCCCTGTCTCAGTCCTCTTGTTCTCCTCCCCCTCCCCTTACCTCCTTTCCACCTCCTTCCTCTCCACCCCATGCTCCCACTTTGTTCAGGGGTTCTTGTCCCCCTCCCCTTCTTTGAGGGACTATGCAATCTTTTCTTGGGGTCCTCCTTGTTTCCTAGCTCCTCTGACAGTGTGGATTATAGACTGGTAATCCTTTGCTCTATGTCTAAAAATCATATATGAGTGAGTACATACCATGTTTGTCTTTTTGTGACTGGGTTACCTCACTCAGGATGTTTTCTTATAGTTCCATCCATTTGCCTTCGAATTTCAAGATTCCATTGTTTTTTTCTGCTGAATAATAGTCCATTATGTAAATGTACCACATTTTCTCTATCCATTCTTCAATTGAGGGGCATCTAGGTTGTTTCCATGTTCTTGCTATTACAAACAATGCTGCTATGAACATAGTTGAACGTATGTCCTTAATGTATGAACGTGCATTCTTTGGGTATATGCCCAACAGAAGAATTGCTGGATCTTGAGGTAGACTGATTCCCATTTTCCTGAGAAACTGCCATACTGATTTCTAAAGTGGTTGTACAAGTTTGCACTCCCACAAGCAATGGAGGAGTGTTCCTCTTTCTCCATATCGTCTCCAGCATAGACTGTCATTGGTGTTATTGATTTTAGCCATTCTAATAGGAGTAAGATGGTATCTCAGAGTGCCTTTGGCTTTTTGTATTTTCATATGAAAGTGAATATTCTTTTCAATTTCTATAAATAATTGTGTTGGAATTTTTATGAGAACTGAATTGAATCTGCAGATTGTTTTTGGTTGAATGGTCATTTTCAAAATATTAATCCTACCAGTCTTACCAAGGGAAGGAGATATTTCCATTTTCTGGTGTATTCTTCAATTTATTTCTTTAGTGTCTTGAAGTTTTTGTTATACAAGTCATCCACTTGATTGGTTAAAGTTATCTCAAGATATTTTATTTTTTGAAGCTATTGTGAAAGGTAGTTTTACCCAATTTCTTTCTCAATATACTTGTCCATCAACAAAAGAGATTCTAGCCAAAATTCTGATATTCCTTGATGTAAAAAAAGGAAATGAAATTTTATAACAAACTAATGATCTTCAAATAGCTGCCAAATCTTTTATGGGAAAGGTTATTTTTATGGGTATGAATATTTTGCCTACATGCATATCTGTGAACCACTTTTGTACCTGATGCTTGAGGAGTCCAGAGTGGCCATCTGATCCCCAAGATTTGGAGCTACAGACTGTTTTGAGTTATGATGTGGATTCTGGGAATTGAACCCAAGTCCTCTGGAAGAACAACGAATGCTCTTAACCTCTGGGCCACTTCTCCAAGCCCTGGAAATGATATTTTAATGGTCATAATAACTTTAAAATAACTAAACTCTTAAAACTAGTACTTAAGTTAATCATTAATTGCTCAGTCTTAATTCTTCATAGAGACAAACATGAACCTGCTCTAAATGCTGATAATAAAGTATATTCTATTCACCTTTTTATTTTTCTCAGAAAAACTCTTCTTGAAAACCACCTGCTATTACTTGGTCCAGATGTTTGGATCAGACATCATAAAATTGTGAGTATGGTTTAGAAATCTGAATCAGTTGCTGGCTCATCTTTCTGCTCACTGCACTTAGTGGAGAAAGCCTGGCCCTGCTCTCCATCACCATTAGCAGAGGGAAACTGACACCACAGTCTGAAGCTGTCACTCCAGTAGAGGCTTTCTAGAAGTACAGTGTGAAAATCTGGCTTGTTTTCTCTCCAAGCACCTTCTGTGCAAGATTCCCCAGTACTGGTCCTAATCTTTCCCAGTGGCTTCCAGCCCTCTGTCCTCCAGGTTTCCTAGACTATTACTTCCTAGCCCCTCTGTGGCATCACAGTCCGCTTGTTTTCTTTATCATTCTCTTCCTTGTATGTTGACCATTCTTTTCAGCACTGGATAAGATGAACCATGTTCATGTTCATGGCAGTCTCTCAGCAAGGATCCATGTTACCCAATTTGAGGATACAGTCTATACCCCAAGAAGCCAGGTGTCGTCATGGGTCCAAGCCATCTATCCTCAAAAATCCACATAAAGTAGCCAAATTAATAGTAAAGAGTAGAAAAGATAGGTTTGTTCCATATGGCCACACTGGGGAGAAGAAAAGAGATTCAGTGATGCACTCAACCCAGTTCATCATCTGTTCTAATGAGGCTAATGTTTAAATAGAGGACCAGTGATATGAACATCTAAGTTGGTCAAGGTGTGGTCCAGTCATTGTCTGGGCTTCAGTCTCATCCTGCAAAGCATTCTAACAAGTGGTGAGAACTGTGGAAATCTCTGTTCCAGGAATTTACAAGGTTCTCCTCTGGCTAGAGCCAGGCTTCCAGTCTTCTCCTTCTCCCAGCATGACAGTCCCATTGTTGGGATCCAGTTTTTAACAGTCTCTTAGTCAGATTGAAGGACACAAGCGTCCATTTAGAATAGCTTAATTTCTTCCAGGCTTATATCCACACATGGTTGTCTTACTTTGTGACTTAGCCATTTACTCGGTTTGTTTAATTATATAAGCACCCAAACCCAGGCACACAAACAAACTCTAGGACCACAATGATCAACTGGGTCTAACCTTATAGTCTCTCCCTTTTATCTTGCACACTCCCATGAACATCCTAGGTTCTGTGTTCATCCTTCTTTCCATGTATTATATATATATATATATATACATATATAGATATATGTATATATATATATATATTAGTAGTCTTCTCACCTCCACACTCCTACATATCCTACACATACACATCATCATAATAAAAATACACATAATAATAATAGCCATATATATACATATATATTTTATAGTATGTATTATGTGTAGTCTTTTAAAGTATATATTTTTAGTTCTTAACATAGTGTCACATTTTATATATTATTTCATATATGACACTTAAGTATGAGTGTCTGACACCACCCATATAACTATGCCATCACTGTAGCACATTCACTCTGTTGTGATACTGAATTGTATCTCTAGGGTATTGTTCATGTGCTCTGCCACCAATAGCCATGCAGGTTGTTCTGTGGATTCCTTCTTGTACACAGTGCTCCTTTGAATATTCCTATAATGAATGTGTGGTTGAGTGTATAATGGTGAAGCTTAAAAGACATTGTCACCCTCTAAAATAGTATAGCCTAGAACCAGCGGATGTTTAAAGACAGAAGTTTAAAATTATACAGACCTTGGAGATCTGTGCTGCTGATGTGCACATGTCTCTATTAATACTGAACTTATCTATTACAGAAATCATTTAAACTGAATTCTGGTTGTGGCAGGTTCCATGTTTTTTTTTAACCTAAAACCCCAGTTATAGTCATGGCCTATGAACTGAAGTCAGACCTGTGGGCTTCCAAGTTTTCCTTAAAATCAAAATCTACCAATGCGGAAAAAATATCTTTGAATGTAAACCCAACTACAGCATCACATTATGTAACATTCTTCCAAATCTACACTTCTCAGAACTCCTGGCCCCATACACAAGACTCTTCATGAACTAGTCCTGATGAATCTTCCAAACTCATCCCTTGCTACCTCTTAGCACATCACATCCCACAGTGCTTTTCTCACACTACAGGCAGGTTTTGCCTGAAGTCTTTTACAATTGTTTCTTGTGTTTGACATATCTGAAACCTATACTCAGACACCTCACCCTACTTCTTTGGAGTTCATATCTATTCCTCTTCTTCTGGAAGCTTCCCTTATCCTCTCCAAGCTAATATGGACATTCCACTTCTACCACATTCAAGCATATTGGCACACACACACATGCATACAACCATATGTGGTGCAAAACTCTGGAACAACATTAGGACATATTAGGAAAATTTAATTACCACTCTACTTCTCTGGGTCCCTGCTAAGTTGGCAGCTTTCAAAAGCCTAGGACTACGTTTTATTCATTTTTCCACATATTTCCAGGTATTCAGCAAAATCCTGACTTTATGTTAAAGGAAGAATGATGGAAAGGGGGTAGAGAAAGGGAAGAGTTGGAGCTGGATGGAAGATAGACTGTTTTAGAGTAAGACAGGTGCAATAAATGGCTCTATCCACCATTTGTTTATCTATAAGGTCTAGTACCCTATTATTGACAGTACCAGCACCCTGTCAGCTCTAGTGCCCTATCAGTGCCAGCATCCTTTCAGTGCCAGCACCCCATCAGATCAGAATCCTTTCAGCACCAGCACCCCATCAAGAGCAGCACCCCGTGATCAGCTGTGTGCTGATGGGAATCTCTCCTTACAGTCTCTACTTGCAGTCTGCTTTAAACAGCTGGAAGCAGCTTGGGATTGACTCAAGCCCTGAAAATGACAACCTCATGATTTAATTTTACCTGAATAGCTGCCTTCCAATATGAAATGGATTTCCTGACCTGGAGGCCATTTCTCCTATTATCTCATATTAGTCAGTTCTCAATAATTCATGGACTAATTATGTAGCAATTGCATTTTCTACCCACAGTCATCACCATAGGATTCTGTAAAGAAAGAGAGAACATGAGAAATAAGACGTTCCCTCTAAAACTTGCCATGCAGTGTCTTGATCTGTTTGAACTACTGTAACAAAATACCTGATACTGGAAAATTTAGAAAAAAAAAACAAAACAGAAATTTGCCACTCATGGATCTGAAGACTTGGAGTATAACACCAAAGTGTCAACAGATTAGATGTCTGAAGGATTCAATCTTTGCTTCACTGTTTTTCTTTTTGCAAACTCATGAGACAGAATTGGCAAACAAGTTACTTGGGCCTCTTTTGTAAAGGGGCATGGATCTCATGGACTCCCACAAATGTGTGTCAGTTTGGGGAAAACAAATATCAAGGCCATCTAGATACCTAGAAGAGGCTATCTAGGTAGAAATCCATTCTAGCCAGTATCCAGGTGAAAAGTCCCCTATCTAGTCCTGACCTTCACTGTTCTCAATGTTGCTTCAGAAAAGCTCTGAGCCCTCTAAGCATCATATTGCTTCCTGGTACTTAACTGTTGCTTCCCTGAAAGTCACAAATCCCTGTGTACCAAGTCCAGTAGCTCTCCAAGATCAAGAAAGAACAATATTTTCATAAGAAAACTAAAGAGCAGAAATTACAATTATCATATGACTGAAGCCATTATAGGTTTTTATTGACATCAAAGATACAAAGCCCTTTAACTATGTTCTTCACAAGGAAGGAAGGAAGAAAGGGAGGGAAGAAGGAAAGAAGGAAGGAAAAGAAACACAAAGAGGATGGGCAAGGAGTGAGCGACAATTTTCTCCAGAATGGGAGAGACCATGATCATGAAGGTGATTTTTCCAGGGCAAGGCTCACCAACTACAAGGTGGATGTGCTTACCCCTGCAGTTTGCTCAAATGTGGGAAATCCAATTGCATGATTTGTGAATGTGGAGGACTATGCTAACCTTTTCTCTGTTACAAAAAAATATAACTACATTTTTTAAACTTGAAAAATCGTAAGTTCACAATGATAGAGACTCATAAAAGAGTGAAAATAAATCTTTGAAACGAGGTGGGCTTCCTCCCAATTCCACTTGCGCTTCACTTCTCTAGCTCAGTCGAGCTCTCTTTGAAGGAGCTCTGCACCGAGACATCATGCCTCACCTCTGGCCCTTGTATTCCTTTGGCCTCCTCTTCTGCATAGGTCCCTGAGCCCTGAAGGGAGGGTTTGACAAAGACATCCCATTTAAGACTAATTCTCCAAGGCCTCTCATTGTCTTCACATGTCTGCTTGTGTGGGTCTCTGCATTAGTTCCCATCTATTTCAAGAAGCTTCTTTCATTAGGATTGGTTGATGCAGTGATCCAATAATAAAACTATATTTAATAATAACAATCTTTAATGTAAATGGCCTTAACACATGAATTGCAGACTGACTAATTCCAACTAATGTTTTTCTCTATGAAATTTACAAAACTAGGAAGTATGTCCTAAAACTGAGAATTAAAGGTTGGAAAACAACCTACCAAACAAATAGAAGCTGAATTTAAGCTGGTCTGATTCTCAATCCTGATAATGTATACTGCAAAACAAAAAGAGGTGAAGATGGCCACCGCATATTAATTAAAGGAATAAATAATCGAGATGATATAATTACTATAAATATATATGCACCAATTCATGGGGACCCCATTTTTTAAAAAATAAACACTAAAAGGCATAAAAGGCTGTGTGTCCTAACACAATAATAATTGAAGGCTGTAAACACCTCACTTTCAAATGTAGATATGAGTCTTCAAAATTAAAAATCAGAAAAGAAAGTTGAGAACTAAAGTATACCACAGATAACAACATTTAACAGGTATCTATAGAACATTCCATGCAATAAGTAGGAAATATACATTCTTCTCAGAGACAATAGAAGACTCTCTAAAATTGTCCACAATAGACTCCACAAAGCAAGCCCTATGCTATACAAAATAACTGAAATAATTCCCTGCATCTAACAAAGCTGCAGTGGAATAAGACTGGAAAGCAATAGCAATGCTAATCTTGGACAATATATAAATACCTGAATACTAAACAATGTAGCTTTAAATGAACATGGAAGAAAATCATGGAGGAATTTTTTTTTAATTCCTAAATCAAATGGAAATGAGAGTATAGTCTGCTACAATCTCTGGATCCAGACAAGGTAACCTAAAAGGAAAGTTTGTGCCTCCAAATGCTTGTATTTCTTAAAATCAGAGAGATTTCCCCAAATAATCTGATATACCTCAAATCTCTAGAAAAAAATTAGGAACCAAACCCAAAAACAATATATAGGAAAACACACACACACACACACACACACACACACACACACACACACACACACACACCAAGGGAGATAGTAATGAAAAAAGAAACTAAAAGAACAAACAGCATTATTCAATTGGTTCTTTGAAAATATTGAGATTGCCAAATCTGTAGCCAAACTAACCAAGAGTAAGAGTAAGAGCAACCAAATTAAAACAATGAGAGACAAACAACAGATCCCAAAGAAGTCTGGATTATCATTAGAGAATAATTTGATGACTTACATTCTAAGATGCTGAATAATCTGAAAGCAATTGTTAATTTTCTAAGTGCATATTACCTACCAAAGTGAAAGCTGCAGACACATAGCAAGATTTTGGTTGCTATTATAAGTCTCCTCCAAAAGACATCCCAGAACTAGACAGATTCATGTTGAATTCTACCAAACCTGTAAGGAAGATCTAAAGCAAACACTTCTCAAATATCATTTGTGCTCCGATGGAGTTGAATAGATGCAGTCTTCAAGTCCCGTTACCTCTGGCAATTGTGACCTCTCAATTAGATCAGCCTCCGAGAAATGCCTGCAGATTTCCTCAACAAATCTCACATATACCCTATTGGTCTTGCCCGTATTTTGGAGACTCCATTGCATCTAAAGCCTTAACCTCCACCATGTCATGCACAACCTACTCATGAATCTATGTCAGTAATCTGGCCCTTTGCCTGACCTTGGTGTCTTTCTAAGGTATTGGTGCAAGCTCTTATGTTGTGCATGTGAACATTGCCAAGTTCTGTTGCCAATTTAAAACATAGCCTAGTCCCCTTGCACCACAGATGCAGCAGCCTCTAAGTAGATGACTGAACCTAGAGAAATACTTCCCTAGGCTGCTCTTTTTTCTGGGATGTAACCTGAAGTCTCTGTGTTTTCAGACACCTTATTTTTAGATGGATTTGCACTGTTACACCCTGAAGTTTTTAATAAATGGAATTCTGATACCTTTCCTGCTGTCACTATGAAACTCATAGTTTATTTTCAATAATGCTAATCTAATAATTAAACATGTTTGTTCACAACCATAAACTTTTCCATATTCCTCTATTCACCAACCTGGATATTTTTCATGACATCCTGCTTTGAACTCTAAATCTCACTAAATGTAGAGAGCAATAACCATGCCACAGCCTGAATGGAATAATGAAATTTCCTCCATCAAACAATGTGATTCATTACTTTTTAATTCAGCCTCACTCAGAGTTTTAGGGGAGAAACAAAATGCAGCCAGGCTATTTGCCAGGATATACTATAAATGACCTTTATCCTACTTTCAGGTAGTTCAAATTCCTCTTTGAAACTTTATAAATACACTCCCTTTTGACTCACTGACACACTGCATTTCTGTACACATTATTGTGATCTGAACTCATAAATATTACCCATTGCTCTCTGTTAGCTCTAGCCCACAGATCTAATCTCTTCTACATTTCTCCTGTAAACAAGTTCAGAAGGCCTATGAACTACACGGTCAGGAAGTCACCATAATGAATTCACTTGTCAGTAACAATTTTCAGTATTAGCCACTTTTCTCATTGCTCTAAATAAATACCTGGCAAGAAAAATCTTAAAAGAGGAGTTGTTTGGCCTCCTGATTTGAGGGGACACAGTTTATCACTGTGGTGAAAACATAAGTCAAGGTCAGCTGCATTGTCATTTAAGAAGCAGACACACACACACACACACACACACACACACACACAGGATGGGAGTTAGTGCTCAGAAAGCTTCCTCCTTTTCCCTCTCTCATTACGTCTGGACGACTAGCCCATCAGATAGTACCACTCATGTCCAGCCTCTCTGTGAATGCTCTCCAAAGAAGATGTGTCTCCTAGATCATTTTAAAATAGTAAACTTGATAATGAAGATGAACCATCACACTTGCTTTAGCTCCTTAGAATCTAGACACAACTGCAGTATTTGAAGACCACTGTCTTTATAGATTTCTCCATAAAAGAAGCAAATCAACAATAATGTTTTTCTTCCACGAAAATAAGAGATATGTTTAATTTACAAGGTAAGAGGTGATTTGGATTGTATCTAAGAAAATAATTTTAGTGTGTAAAACTATATATAGTCATTTTTTCTATTAGATCCAATAAACTTCAAAATATTGTTCCCATCTAATCATATCTTTTCTCTTTTCTTTTCCCAAGTGTTTTTGTGGCTTCTCCCGGAAATAATCCAGTGTTTTTCTGAGAGGTTAACTCATAGCTCAGGGATTATGCTCCCCATCCTGCTTTCAGGACCTTATGAAAGAAGCAGGAGAGATGGGTATTGCAGGAAAACACAATCCAGTAGCTGTGCTGGGTGAAGCTCTAAGGCTGGGTTGTGAGGGCATCAGAATCCATTCCAGGGATTTAACTCCCTTTGATAGTGCTTCTGCTTCCTAATGCCTGAGAGATCTTAATAGCTTTTGCTTTGCTCCATTTCCTACCAGACTTGGTGAAGCTATGAATGCTGATGTGGTGTGCCACGCTCTAGAATTTTGCAAGCAGGATGCTGTCCAATCACAGTGTCATCTCTACCCCCTTCCCCAGGTGAGTGGGTTCTGCTCTGAATGTCACTTTCCAATACCCTTTAGGCCCTCTGGAAATGTTATAAAGGGAGACTCAGATTCATTTGCTCAGTGGTTTGTGGACTGGAAACAAAATAGTCAAGGCTAGAATCTCGACACAAAGGAAAACATGCTGTGTTTGTCTTTCTGAGCCTGGGCTGTCCCACTCAGTATAAGTTCTGACTAGAGTGAGATGGAATCTTAAGGTAGTTTTAATCTGTAGTTCCCTGGTGGCAAAGGGTATTGCATACTTTTTAGAATGTTTCCCATGACTTGTAATTTCCTTTTAGAACTATTGAGTTCCATATCCTTTTAAAATTGACTTTCTTAGAGTTTTTTTCTTTCTAGTATATTCTAGTTACTAGTCCTCTATTTTATAAGCAACAAATCGTTTCTTCTGTGAGCTGCATCTTCACTAACAGTGTTCTTTGCTTACACTGAATAATTTGGTTCATTTGTAGTTAAGGTTTCACAGGGTGAAATACAGGGACCAAGTTTTATTCTTCTAAATGTTGATGCCCAGATATCCCAGAATCTGTCTTCTCTGGTATATATTTTTAGATTTTCAAGAATCAGGCAACCATTGTTGTGTGGACTGATTTCTGGGTACACTATTCTATACCATTGTTCTACATGTCTATTTTCGTGCCAGTGTAATTCTGTTTTCATTACTATGGCTCTGTAGGATAAATTAAAGTTAGATATGGTGATACCCACCACAGTGTTCTTTTATTCAGGATTGCTTTAGATATCCTTGGTCTTCTGTGTTTCCATATAAAACTTACAATTATCTTGTATAATGTCCCTGGGTTATTGATTGAGATTACATGGAACCTATATATTATCTTTGATAGGAGAGCTGTTTTCATAATATTGATTCTTCAGACCATGACAATGGTTAGGAGAGGGGAATGTCTTACCATCTTCTAGTATCTTCTCCCATTTATTTCTTCAGTGTCTTGAAGTTTTCATTATAAAGGTCTATAATTTCCTTGGCTAGCTTTATTCACAGATATTTTATTTTTACCATGTGGTTGCTAAGAATGGGATTAATTTACTGGTTTCTTTTTCAGTATGTTGTCCTTGCCACATATGAAGGCTATTGATATTTGTATATTAATTTTGTGTCACACCTTTTTGCTGAAAGTGCTTATCATGTGATATCTTCAATTATTCCATGTAAAATAATTTCATCTTGCTTCATCTTTGATCTCTCCTCCCATGCAAAGAATATTTAGGTTCTTCTACTATTAACCATAATCCCAAACTGGACTGGCAGTAGATAGGAGAAGCAAAGAAATAGAGAAATCCGGGATTTTAATCTACCTTATCCATCAAAAAGCCAAATGAGTTACTCTTTCAGGACAACCAGCTCATTTTAGAATGTCCAAAACATTCCAGGGATCAGCACTAAAAATTCCTATCCTAAGAAATCTTGTTTAGCTGGTTGTTCTCATCTGAGTTTGACTGTCCTTACCCATAAGATGAGTATAATAAAATATCACCTTCCCAAAGCTTCCTAAGTAAAGCAATCAAATATATATACAATGATTAGCAAATACCTACAATACACCTATAATGCATTAAATATTGCTAAAATGACATCTAAAACATTATTGTCAGTATTGTGATTATTAGAGATGGTTTGTAAGAATCTTCTGTATCATATCATTTTGGGTAACTTAGTTGGATTGTGGTCAGACAAGGCTGTAAATGTTGACATAACTCTATCCACACACTGTAGATCAGAGTACAGCATTAAACTAATTAAGGCTCACAGTATCTACTTTCATGATCTTCCTATTCCAATAATTCCATACCCCTTTCCCTAGAATTGTGATTTTTCTGCATTTATAAGTTTTGTGTTTTAAAGAATCTTATCTGTGTTTAAATGAAGTCAACTATAGCATTTTGTGGCTTAACCAACTCACATGATTTTTATGACTGAAAATATTAAAAATCAGTGGTTGGAGAGATGGCTTAGTTGGTAAAGCCCTTACCACACAAGAATGAGGATATGAATTTCCACCCCCAGAACCCATGTATGAACCAGGCATGATGGTCCACATTTGTTATTCTGGAAGGCAAGGCAATCTCTGGAGATTACTGCCCAGCTAGCCTCACCTAGCTAATAACTTCTAGGCCAGTGAGAAACTGTTGTTGTTTCTCTTGATGTGACAAAGACCAAGAAACTTGGGAAGGAATGGGTTCTTTTTATCTTCCAATGTGTAGTCCAATATCCAGGAAAGTCAGGGCAGAAACTCAAGTCAGTAATATAGAGGTGAGTACTGAAGCAGACGCTATAAAGGAATGCTGCTTACTGGCTTTCTACCAATCTGTCCAGTGTGGCACTGCCCACAATGGTCTCAGATCTTCCACATTAATAGTCAGTCAAGGTAATACCATAGATTTCCTAGGAGGCCAATCCTATACAGTTATTTTCTCAATTAAGATTCTTTCTTCCAAGACGACTGCACTTTGTATCAAATTGGCATAAAATCTATCCACTCAAAGACCTTGTCTCAAAATAAACAATGTGGACTGCATCTGAGGAGCAAAACCTAAAGTTGAACTCTGCTCACCCCACTCCTAACACACAGATGGACAGGGGAAAGGAGGGAGGGAGGGGGAGAGAGATAGAGGCAAAGAGAGATGGAGAAATGTACACATACAAGATAATAAATATCACAAACCTGTCTCCTTGAGCAGGAAAAATGGAAACAAGTGCCCAGAGTACATATTTCATGTTTCTCCAGTAATTAACTGTCAATGAAATTTCCCTAATTCCTTCAAAGAAGCTGTAGATTCCACTGGTTTCTAGAAAAGTTCATTTTAGGTGAAAAAAATTCCAGTGGTCAAATAGCATGTGAATATTGTCTCATCATAATCATTATTTGATGTTGGAAGAAGGAAGTGTGTCTCTATGTAGGAAAGCAAACCTATTAGTCAGCTTATCATCATTATGACAAAATGCCTGAGAGAAGCAATTTAAACTTGGGAAAGGCTCTCTTGGGCATATAGTTCAAATGTTTCAATCCATGATCACTTGACTCTGTTCATGGGCTTGTGGTAGGGCAAGACATCAAGATGTATGGATGGGGGAAGCAACTCATTTTATGGTGACAAATAGCAAAGAGAGAAGGGGCCAGGAGAAAGGTTTACTCCTCAAAACACCCACTTCCTTCTAATGGAGGCTACCTTGTGGGTTTTCATCACCCCACAGTAGCACATCAAGTTATGAGTCCATCAATAAGTAGACTCGTTGGTTGATGAGGTCACAGCCCTCATGGTTCAGTCATTTCCCCAAAGCTCCATCTCTGAAAATTTCCTTGGGGACAAAGCTTTCAGCTGACAAGGCTCTGGGGACATTGCTGATTTAAATCATAGTAGCAAATGATTTGGGTTTTAGTGATATCCACAAGCACAATGATATATTTGCATCATATCCACAGCTGTTCAACCAATGCTCAACTTTGTCTGACCGTAAATAATATTTCTGGTTTAGGCATACTGTCTGCACATAGTTTATACACCAGATTGTATTTCTTTATCTCCCCCATTTATCCTCCCTTTTTCACTTGTGCTGCTGGAATTTGAACCTCGGGACTTTCACATGCCGGCACTGCCCCCCGCCCACACCTTCCAGTGGCAATTTCAACAACGCTCTTTGGCTTGGAGGGAGCAGAAGTATTTCATTTAGAAGTGTCCAGCTTCCACTCAGGGACATGCTAGACTGCTGGTCAGCCTGAGCCCCTCTCTTTGCAGCTGCCTCAGCCACTTTCTTCACTTCCCCCAGACTGCTCCAAACCCTTTCCCTCTTCCCTAAATGCCATCACCAGTCTCTATCTCTCCACATTATCCCAAAAAGTAGGGTGATCCCTCCAGATTCAAGCTTCTCTGCCTTGAGCTTTCCTTCAATAACAGTAACTGGCATGTCCTGAGTGCTTCCTCCAGACTCTGCAGGAAGAGGTTTTGCTTCATCTTGTCTAGCTGTCCATTCAGTCCTAAGACACAGGCTCCATTAGGACCTCTTGTTCACAGGAAGGTCAACACTGAAGGTCCCAGTAAATTGCTGCAAGTCACTACTCCAGGAATGAGCAGCAATAAGATTGGCATCGTTGCCTCTCCCCTCAGAGATGTGGCTGCTGTCCCCACTACCCACCACCCAGTGGGTTTTTGAAGCTGTCCTGAGTGTTTCCAAAACAACTAACTGGAATCCTACAAACAGAAAGGGATAGCGATAAAATGTTCACTTAATTTTAAAAATTAGATTATACCACAGTCATTTCTTAACATTCTGATAATGTTGTGTGTCAGTTTTTTATTGTTGTTGTTTTGGTTTTGGGTTTTTTGTTTGTTCTTGTTTTTGATTTTTGCTTTTCCCTTTTAACATTACATTTTGGACATATATTTTTAAACATACAAGACTATTTTTCTATTCCCATAAAGTTCAAGCCACTCATTAAGATATGCAAACATATACAGATATGCAAACCCACTTGGCTTCCCTGTGACAATCCTGTGAATGCCCCAAAACAGCCACTACTCTAAAATGCCACCACAAATCAGCTCTTTTATATAAAATTTTATTCTTGAATTTCATGTTAGAGAAATTATTCACAACAGATGATCCTCAGCTTATAATGGTTAGAACTCTATATTTTCTATTTCGTTGTGGTACAAAACCAATATGCAGTCAGCAGAAATTGAATTCTGAATCTTGAATTTCCATATTTTCTGTGACTGTACCTCCCAATCAGCTATGCAATCATGAGAGGAAACCACCCACACACTACCATGCTTTGTTGCTAGTATTTGAGGGTATGGTGTTTTCAAATCTCATTATGTCTACCAAACACTCATATTTATGTGTATATATAAGATACTTAGCTCTGAATTATAAAACAGCTCTGTCTTAGACAACTTTACCCACTATAGGTCATATAAGTGCCCTGATATTTTTAAGGTGATGAAACTAAGGGT